CAGTGAGGACGTGTATTCCTCCTTGATATAGGCGTCTTATTAAGACAGGCTGAGTGTTTCCTCTAGCAGCCAAAGACAGTTCTCTCCCTGGCTTTGCACATACTGCCCTGGTTGTGGTTATTCAGTGTCAGCAGCAGTCTCAGTGGCAGCCTGTGTTTCTTTCCTGAATAGTCTTTCAAGTGGTGTTTGAGCCCTAGGAGAAAGGAAGGCCATGCAGGCCAGAGTGCAGGAAGCTCGTTGTCAGGATCCCAGCATGCCATGGGCTGCAGGGAAGGTACAGGCAATTGCTATATAAGAAAATAAGACCAGACTCATGATTCATCACTTCCCCAAACCATCTTCTCCCCATTGAGAGCTCCCAGTACTGAAATGCATAGTAGGTTCAGCTATTAGAAATCCTCCCGATACTTGCACAAGATGCACAACCCCTATGTTCCAGCCTGCTGTTCGTGACAACCAACAGGATACGAGCGCTTCAAAAGCAACTACAAGCTCTTCCCTTTGCTAAATTCAGGTTCAGAAGGAAGTTTTCCTCTAGGTCAGACCCAAAAATGGAATAGGCTTCCAAGGGAGGTGGTGTTGTCCCCTTCCTTGGAAATATTCAAAAGGAGATTGGTCAGACACCTGGCTGGGGTCATCTGACCCCAGTGCTCTTTCCTGCTCAGGGCAGGGGGTTGGACTCAATGATCTAATAGGTCCCTTCCAACCCTAATAACTATAAAACTATGAGAGAGACTGAGTTTTCGCTTTCCAACAGCAATGTGGAGCCTGCTCCTTTTCCTAGGATGCCCTGAGCACATATCACGCAGTGGCAGTGCCCTTGTCTCCCATGCTTTGATCCACTGAATGCTGTAGACTGTTCATAGAATCATAGGAAAGTAGACCTGGAAGGGCCTTGCAACGTCTAGTCCACCCCCTGCTTAAGACAGGATGATCCTTGACCAAGCCATCTCAGTCAAGTGTCTTGTCTAACCTGCTCTTGAACATTTTCCAAGGATGGAGACTCCACAGCTTCTCTAGGCAGCCTATTCTAATGTTTGGCGACCCTCAGAGTCAGCAGGTTTCTCCTAATTTCCAGCCTAAATTTCCTCCACTGCAGCTTGAGGCCATTGTTTCTAGTCGTGTCCCCTGCAGTCATAGAGAAAAGCCCATCTCCTCCTCCTCTATAATCTCCCTTCAGGTATTTGAAGACGTATCAAATCACTCATCGCTTCTCCAGGTTAAATAACCATAGCTCTTTCAGACTTTCCTCCTAAATCATGCTTCCCATAGACCCCATGAATTACTAATCCATCACCTTAATCACTCAGCCACAACTACCTGGAAGCAGCTTTTGGTGTTTTGAGTACAGGCAGCCCTTGGACATACAGCACAACTGGTTCCTGACAAACACATCTTAAGTCGAAACGTTGTAATTTGGAACTGATTTTCCCATAGGAAACAATGTTATAAATGGGGGATTGGTTTCTAAACCAAGGACCAATACCCTATTTTCACCAAAAATAACCCCAAATTTTGTACTCAATCGGTTATAGATGAGTAATATAGCTGTATTTATATTGTAAATAGCAATCATATAGATTTGGAAGGACATCTTTGAGGTGACTTTGCTGGACTTTTTGAAGGGCTCTTGGCTGGAATCTTCTCAGGAGTTCTGGCTGCAGTTTTTTCTGGACTCTTGTCTGCTTTCTTAAAGAAAGTGTCCAAGGAAGTTTGGACAGATGTTCTCTGGGGAGATGAGCGACACAGTGAACTTGCTGGTGGAAGAAAATGAGGGGTGGAAGGGACCTCAGGAGGTCACATCTAGTCCAACCCCCTGCTCCAAACAGGACCATCTCCAACTAGATCATCCCAACCAAAGCTTTGTCTAGCCGGGTTTTCCAAACCTCCAAGGATGGAGATCCCACCACCTCTCTGTTGCGGTCCTATATTCCTACAAAGATAAAGCTGAAGCGGGGGAGACTGAGCTGATTCAGGCTGGGGCTTTGCACTCTTGAAAAGCTGCAAATATATTTGAACAGTCTTGTAAAATAACAGGCCAGGCAGGGCTCCAAATCAGTGACACCCAAAGAAACCTCCTTGAAACCCGCACATCAAACATCAGCCAAAACATCAAGGACAGACCAAGTCTCCTACATAGGCAGCACTGTACTCCCCTATGGAGACGTCAAGAAGGTACAGCATCAAAGGCATAAGGCATCTGCAGCTTTTGCCGACCCTTCCAATGTGTGGAAGGTAGCGACACCACAAGGGTAATGATGGGGATTTGAGCTCAAGTGGCATCTTCATGCCATGTACAGCTGTGAGAGCAGCAGATCTATGAAAACATTAACTAGGGAGTTCGACTCCCAGATGTCAGAATGGGGATGGAAAGCAAAGTAAAAGGGGTTGGGAGGCTAGGACCTGACCATAGCTTGATGCTTGCACAGTGTTGCTGTGGCTGTGCATGCTTACCGCTCTCTTAGAGGGCAAAGGGTAAGTTTAGGGGCCTCCTTGAAAGGAAGTGGGCAAAGGGAAGAGAGCTTGGCTTGAATATAGATGGAGGGAATTACCTGGACCATATTGGGGTCTGATTCTTGATTGCCTTGTGCCACAGGTAACCACTGGTTGGTGTGTGTGTCATGCCTTTTCTCCCCCGCCACCCCATGTCTAAACCACAGTGGATAGGCATCTGTTACAGCCCTAGCTGTAGCACGTGGCTCTGTGTCTGGAGCTGCCAAGATTGATAGAGCAGCTCTGGAGGTCCCTAGTGCCATCCAAGAACGTGGCTGCCTCCAAGTTGGGTCCATTCAATGGGAGTGTAAGTTGCCCCTGTACTGAGTCACCAGGGTTTCATGGAGTGGGTCAGAGGGGAATTGGGCATCGGGACTCCCCTCCACATCCATCTCCTGCCAGCTCATTGCAAGCTGCTGGCTCCTGGTAAGCTGCTAACTGTGCTCAGCTTGGGAACTCCTGACTAGGGGTAAATGCGCCCATCTGCTGTGAACATATGCAGCCATGATTATCCTTTCAGTGCTGCTGGGTCAGGCTGGTACTTCTGCATGTGCTCCAAGGGCTCGGAGGCTAATCTTTACCTGTTGTGCCTGAATGAACCAGAGAAGTGCATTGGCCAAGGGGCTTAGTGGGGCTTCATGGACAAAGTTAACTCCTGTTGGGGCCTCACAGCACATGCATTGGCAGGAGTTGGGGCAAAAAGGAGGGATTCTTGCTTCACCTAGCAGCTGGGTCAGAAAATCCCTGTGATTGTGGAGATAGGTGCAGCATGGAGGGGAAATCATGCCTTTCTCTCAAACATGAGGCAGGGCACCAGACTGGAGGGGTCTATTCCAGTGGGGCCAATCTTATGGCCTCTGCAGCACAAAAGCTTTATGGCTTCTCACTAGAAGCAGGCAAAGAAGGAGGACCTCTGCTTCTTTCCCTTCATGCCATTCAGGAATGAAAAAGTCCCATTAAATCGCCCAGTTCATCATGCAGCTCTGAGCGGCAACTGAATCCCATGTGCTGGACAGCTCATCATCGAAGACAAGATGCGATGCGTAGGTGTAACAGTCGGAAGGAATAAAGGGGAGGGAGGAGGGAAAGTGTGATAAGAGCAAGTGTTTACCAAAATGAGCTTTGCACCTCACTTAAAACGCCTACTAGCCACCTCGCTGTACTTCATCAGTTGGCAGCCAGCCATAGGCATGATGGTAGATGTGAGACTTGAGCAGGGATTTAAAAATAGTGCCCTGTTCTGCCTTGAAGGATGCTTTGGAGGACAACGTCCCTCTCTTCCCAAGGCCACATTGGTGCTCTCTTCAGTGCCGCCCTGCCATGTGGAGATGACACATAGGTGATACAGGAGTAGTTTAAAGATGGAGCATTGATGCTGGAGAATGATGGAAGAAAATCCAGTAAGGGGAGGGTGAAGTTAAGGAGGAGCAGAAGGCCTATAGGTGCAGCAAAGGGAGCCCAGGGACGGCATTACAGGTCAGGAAAGATGATGTCTTGAGTGGGCTTGAAAGGCGTTGTGGTGAGGCTGGGGAGGCCTCAACTGACCAGTTCCTGCCTTTAGGTTGTCAGCACTTTGAACAGAACGGGGTCTAGGCCATGATCATTTGACTGGGTCTTCACTGTGGTGGGCCATAGAAAGACGTGGTAAACTTTTGGAGCTAGGGACTGTCTCTTAAGATCTAAGTCGCCAAGGCAAAGTTGGGAGAAAAGGAATATCCCATTTTACAGACAGAGGAAAGGCCATGTCTCTACAGCCTCTGTGCTGTACCTTTGACCCTCCTTGAGGCATGTGCCCCACAGCTGTGTTCAGGTCCTGGAGCCGAGGCAGTGCAGCTGGCCTGGAGCAGCCAGGAGTGCACATCCAAGAGCCACATCAGGCTCTCTCAGGCATGCATCTTGGTACCAGCCAGCAGCCCCCGTAAGCTGCCCTCGGTTTTGGAACCAGGCATGTGCTGAGCTGGAAGGGGTGGGTGGGATGAGCAGCTCAGCAGTGTTTCCAGATGTGGCATGGAGGCAGATGTCAGCTGGCCCGAGTGACTTGCCGAATGTTGCAGGAGTCTGTAGCAAAGCCTGCTTCTGACCTCCCAGATCCAAGTCAGTGCTTTAACCACAAGATCCTCCATATTTAAGGCCCCACCTGCCCATGGATGGATGTCGATGTTGAGCCGGTGCTGAGAAATGAGCTTCGAGTCCTGCCTGGCTGCCCAGCTTTACAGCAGGGCATTTTGGAAGCTGGGTGAGCCATCTCCCCATTGTGCCCTAGCAAGGGATTAGCAATGGAAGGCCAAAAGCCAACTATGACCATTACTATTTCTATAGCTGAGCTGCTTCTCACCAGATGCTGTTTACATGGTGTTTAACAGTGGTCCTTGGCACCACTGGAGCAGCAGACAGTGCAGGCTGGCATTGGGTTTGGTACACGTAGGCTTGCACACAATACTAGCTAGCATCGTGATGCTCGCTGCAGTCACGCTCCGAGCTGCTGCTCTGAGCCAAAATCTCCAACCTAGAGGCTTCCTTGAGAAGGATTTCTGTGTTGCTCCAAAGTGCATAGCTCAGTAAACAGCTCCTGTGGGGGATTTGTTTTGATGGTGTCTGCTTTGGACTAAAACCAACATTTCTGGTGAGTTAGATGTCTCCTGGACTCTGTAGCTGCTCTGGGAACCTGACAAGAATGAAAACCAGTGAATAGACGTCTGGCAGCACCAGAGAGCTCCTAGCATCCCAGATGTTCCTGAAATCCTGAAACAATTCCCTCTGGCTTAGGTTGGGTGACTATGACTTGGATAAGAAATGTTCCCTCTGTAATGATGCAGCTGGGGTGGGCAATTATTTGGGCCTGAGGGACACGTAGGGAGTTTGGGTGAGTTGTCGCGGGCTGGGTCAGCACCCACCGCCTCCTTCCAGGTCTGCACCGCCTCCCCTCCTCCCAATAGCTCACTAAAACTCCCCAAGTGGCTCTGCTCTGCACGGGGCTGGGCGGCTGGGATGGGGCTGCAGGTGGACAGGGAGCAGGATCCTGGAGTAGGATGGGTGGGCAGGGCCAGGGCCATGGCTGGGATTGTGGGGCCGTGACAGCATGGGGCTGGGGCCGGGAGCAGAGCCACAATCTGCTCCCCGCATGGGATCATGGGGCCAGGGCCAGGGTCCAAGGCAGAGCTGTGATCCACTCCCTGCACGTCCCTGCCTGCAGAACCGCCGCCCGTCGCAGGGACATGCGGGAAGTGGATCATGGTGCTGTCACTGCCCCAAGATCCTGGCCCTGCCCTCCTGTCCTGGCCCCATCCATCTGCCCACCTGAGCGTACCCTCCCCACACAGGTTGCACCCCCAGTGGTGAGTATGGGGCAGATGGGCTGGGGTGCCCGAGCGGTGGGAGGGAGCTGCTGCCACTGGGGCTCCTGGGAAGGAAGTCCAGCTGCCATGCCACCCCAATCTTGCTGCATGCTTGGGGGTGGCAGGACCAGCGCCATGCACCACGGTCCAAGCTGCCCCTGCACCTGGGCTGGGCAGGACCAAGTGACTTGCTGCAGGACAGATTAAATCCTTTGGTGGGCTGAATCTGGCCCATGGGCCATATTTTGCCCACCTCTGGATTAAGGTCTGCAAGGTTTGGTTCAGTCTGTCCTCCACGGGGTCCCTGAGGTCCCTGCAGAGTAAGAGATCAGGCATGTCTGGCCAACTCATCTGACTAGCATAAGCAGAGGTGAGGTAGTGGGGAGAGACCCCCCATCCCAGTGGATGAAATTGTGGGCCTGACTCTGTTACTCTGTTCCTGAGCATGGGGCAGGGATGGAGGCAGATAAGTTTGAGGTCAGCATCCTACTTGCTGTATTTTGGGACTATGCAGCTGCCCCATCTCTCCACTGGTCTTAATTAGAGCTGCCTTGAGAGACCCTGGAAAGGGACTACACTTATAATGCAGTGCTTTCCAGACATGCTCCAGTCCTCCCTCTTAGGTAAGGGGTGGAGAGCAGGTTCAGGGTAAATGCTATGTACCTGCTGGGGAGTTCACTTGGGGGTCCACATCCATCCTCTACATATAGTCAGACCTGTTTTCAGTTGGCTCGGTGACGCGGAGAATCCCAGTCCTGCGAGTCCAAGCTGTGTGCACGGAGTGGGTGACTGATTCTGCTTCCATTGGATCCGGTACAAAACTCTGACTTCCCTG